GATAATTTATCTTAAGACAAAGCTTACTGTGTATTGAATAATTAAACTGTTGTAAAAGTTAATAGTCCTCAGATTGTTATCAAAGTTTATATAAGGAAGATTCAGCATCAAATGCTTGTGGAGATTCATTAGTATGCTTCCAGTTTCATCAATCCTTATCCTTTCAATGTATTCACTCTATCTTTACTTCAAAATGATTCTGTACATTTTAAAAGTCTTATATAAGGTTGTAAAAAAGTAAGAACACAGTACTGGAAAAACTGAAAGATACTAAAACTGGACACACCAGGTCGGCATTCTTTACTGAAAAACCCAAAGGCTCATTGGCCTCAGTGGACAAAACTAGTTCTCCTTTATTCCGCTGTAATGAAATTCTGTTCCGGTTTGACTGCTCACCAAACTGTGGATGAAGACATTGCAGCGACCACCCACCGCTGCTCATGTATCACACAGGAGCAGGCCATGTTTGTCTGCTGGTGACAGATGAAAGAAAGGAAGAAAGATCCAGCTCTGCGTTTCCATCCACAGGCTGATATTAGATTGACATGAGATGACTCATTTAAATTCATAATGGAACGTGTCTGGGTTGGACTTTGTAGATTCCCCTCCTGAAAGCCAAATTGTGCAACAGTTTTTGATACACACAAAAGAACAGCCAGCCAAAGACTCACTCTGCTTATTAAACAACAGCCTTCCAATTGTGTCAAGATCTTCTGAAAGTAAGATACAAACTAATCCCATTACTGAATCCAAAGTGATCGAACTCATATTCTTTCAAGGCACTTCAGTCCTGTTTGCGGGACTTCAACAGAAGCACTTTGCAGCTTGTATCATGTATTTTACAAAAGAGATGCATTCTAGTTTCATTATCCCTTAAAACCCTGTACAGCTCTGCCACTCAGAGACACAGATCAGAAGTCTAAACACTATAACAGGCTTGTCATCGGCTCCTCGGCCATAAGACTGGTGGCTCTACTAAAGCCCCTCACACTGCGACAGGGCATTGAGGATCACGACTGAATATTCTGGATCTCAGACTGGTGAGCCACTGGGTGACATATCTTCATCCCTATCCTCTAATTTTCCCTTTCCACAGCCTTCAAACGCCTCTTCTTCTTCTCCAACGCACGGCAGGGGCTGTATTTCGGCTTCATTATGGCCGCACGAAAGCCAATATTTGTAACCATATTCACCATTTTCCTCAGTGGGGCAGGGTTGGTGGTGGGGAGTGGATGAAGGGAGGAGGGGGGGGGGGGGGTGGAAGAGGAGAGCAGGAAGGGAGGGAAAAGCTCCCCAGATGAAAATCCTAAATCAGTATGCCCTGCCGCTGTAGCTGAGGCCTAGGCAGGGATTTCGTTTAATTTATTCTCCTAAGCCTGGGAATCAAGCCATCAAAAGGAACCAAACTATCAGGTTTCCTGCACTAAATGGCCCAACAGTGTGATGTGGCCAGCCTGGGATCCGACTTAACCCTTTCGAGGTGGCAGGCAGCATCAGAGCCAGTTGCCTTCCTTGTCTGGACCAGTTTGTCTGAGACACTCTGAGGACAGAGCAGCGGAGACTTGTGAACTGAAGGTGACACGGTGGGGACGGGTGGCTCTCCCTCACAGTGTTTGCTAGATTTGGATATCCCTTCTTTAGCCTTGTTTAATGGTTGTGGATCATGGGATTAAGGGACACAGGCTCATGGTAGGCCACTGCTGAAATGCCAGCACCAGTCTCTCTAGTAAAGTATGTTGACATGATGGTTCTGCAGCATGTTCTTTACATCCAGTGCCCACATCCAGTGCCAGTGCAGGAAGTAGTGTACTCTTTTTGTAAAACGTACACTTTTTTTGTCGTTAGTCAGAAAAGTCATGAGGTCACGCGGCCTTGGATCTATACGAATAAGGCTTTGTAACATCCTTTGGAATAGCATCCCCATTGAACATCAAGCAATATGGATTAAAAATGGGCCAAGATCTGCAAATTAATTCACCCTTTTTTTAACAATTCATATACAGCAAATGCATATTTAGTGTTGCAGAGGGGTCAAACTGTTGATTAAAGAATGGTTGCAGCATTCCTACATGTTTTGGAATATGTGATGTTTAAATCAGGCTAAGGAGATGAAGGAACACTTTTTTTGAATACTATAATTACTGATTATTTTGGAGATCTAAGCTGAAGTGCTGTAGCTTTATTTTTAAACTGAGGTTTACCCATGATGCCGTGTTGGCAGGTAGCTGTGGACAAGAAGAAAGAGAAATACAGAGAGAAAGTATGGATTTAAGACATTTTAATCGATTTGAGATTTCTTCATTTGGTTTGTCCTGCGTTATCAATGACGCATTCTAGTTGAGTCAGGTCTCATTTGAGCCCAGTTCCACAGTTTCTCCAAATAAGTGTTTTAAGAGTCAAATCCGATATTTCTTGCTCTTGTGAAAATCCATCTCTTGAGTTCTTGGGATTATCAAGCTTCTCTATTTTGTCCTCGACTGCATGAAAACCGGCACTGACCAAAAAACCACGAAAGCTACTGTTCAACCATCTGAGGAGCTCAGAACACCAAACACACTCACACATAAACGTCACAGAGGCTTTATTTACTGCTTGACTCATTGCAAAGAGGGTTAAGGAGGTTCTTATTAACTTATTCTAACATATGGTGTCCTTTGGTGAACTCATTTCCCAAGAGGTCACAGTGGAGGTCAAAGGAGAAACAAACTGTGTCCGGACTCTACACGACACACTGATTTTAACCAGGTTTAGAGTATGTGGTACGTAGAAAATTCAGTATACACACCTGAAAATAATAATAATGATCATTATCATCATCATCATCATAGTAATCATAAAATAAATAATGATAGTAATAATAATAAACAAAATTACTGTTGCCTAATGTACAAAACAGCAACATATGTTTATTTTGTGTAACTGCAAAAACAGTTAACTAAAGAAAATAATACACACTTAATACACAAATTGCTTTAATTTTACATTACCTGGGTGACTGTGGCTGCGAGGGAGTGCGGTCGTCTTTCAACCAGAAGGTTGTGGGTTCGATCCCAGCCCATGCAGTCAACATGTCGATGCATCCTTGGGCAAGATACTTAACCCTGAGTTGCTCCCGACGGCATGGCCAACGGTGTGTGAATGTGTATGCATGTTAGTTCCTAGAGTAACATACACTGCTCTGTATGAATGGGTGAACGACATGTAGTATGTAAAGCGCTTTGAGGGGTCTTAAAGACTGGAAAAAGCGCTATACAAGTACAGTCCATTTACCATTTACATAACATTTTCAGAAACGATTGCTCTTGAGGTAATTTTCCAATCATTTTTGATTTATTTAGTTTTTCTTTTGTATTTGAACAGTAATTACTTAATTCTTGCAAAACACATTTCACTCTGAATGACAAGAGTCTGCAAGCTGGGTAATAAACATCTTAAAAACACGTTCACACATGAGATCAGTTAACTAAAATAGAGGTAATTGCAGTACCATGCACAACCTTGTATTGCCATGAGGTCAACGCATGGTCACTTAACGCTGACTATGACTTTTTGACACCAGTTTTCGAAAACACTGATTGTGATAAGTTTTAAAGTAACATCAGGCTCATGGTTATTTTCCTCGACCCACATCGACTACAACTGACCGTGTTTGGTGTTCAACAACAAGCTAGATGGAAACTCGAACGCTGGAAGAGTACATGTCAGTAGCCGTTGCGAGTACTAGCAGGCTCTAGTCAGGACTCACGGTCATAAAGGACATAATATTACTTTCTTCTTATGAACACAGTGGAAAGCAGGGCAGATCTCTGATGACCAGCTCCTTACCCCTCATCTCCTCTCTTCCTTGATCTTCCCCCACTGTTTGCTTTACTTTATTTTCTGTTTTTTCTCCCCCTCCCCCTGTAATTTTTTCGTGCAAAGAATAAAATGTCATCTGCGCGGGCTCTGGGAAAGGCGGCCCTCGGATTGGCCCTTGCCCGTACAGATGCTTTGAATTTACAGGGCTTTTCTGCCTGCGAGGAGAAGCAGGGAGGGATGGAGGGATGGATGGTGGGGTGGAGGGGAAGAGATGGAAGGGGGTGAAGGGGGGTGAAACCTGCCTGTATTTCCTGGGGATTAGGCGTCAGATGGGCGCCCTCAGAGGAGGTCTCAGGTCCCGGCCTCCCTGGATGGCTGGGAAACTGACCCCCATCTGACTCCGAGGGCTTCTCTGTGCCCTGCCAGCATGTAGCCTCAGGACGGGGCAGGGGCCCGGGCTCTGAACCAGGCCGGCTCACCGCTGACTGCAGGCGGACTGAAACATTCCCATTTGTGCATTATACATTGCATATCAATACATTTCTGTTGAACAAAAATCCACTTACACAAATCTTTGCTGCTTCATTGTTGGTTGAGGTCCTTCTATTTAATAATAACACCTGCTAAGATATGTGATGTTGTAAATGAAATCAGGTGTGCAAAGTTAAAGCCAGAAAATGGTTGGTTTTAGAAATGTGATCAATTTGAATAGGTAAAGTTGAGCAACAATGGCAAATACATCCTAAACACTGTAAAACACATGTTCTTTGTTTTAAGCATCCCTGCACAATGGTCAAGTTTAACCAATTCTTGAATTTTGACTCTGAATGTATCCTTAAACTGATAATCTTCCTCTCTTCTCCTACTAAGACCAGTTGGTCTGCATAAGCACGGAGACATTGTTCTGTAACACTTTAAATCACGCTCACTTAAATACAGTTGAGATGGATTGCACACACACACACACACACGCACAAAGACTTGCAAAACGTTACATTTTCTCTTACAATTTACCTTCACACTGTTTTCTAAATTTCATACAGTTCTGGCAGTAACCCTAAGGACCGCCAAAACACAAAAACATATCTCATAATATCAAGAAGTACAACATTATGTTTATTTTAAAGGTATTTTATTACTGGAGTGTGTACAGACCTTTTGTAGAACCATTTATTGTAGCAATTCTTTAGAAAGCATTTGACTTTTTTTTTCTTTTCATAAGAAAGTTAGGCTTTTGAAAAGTCCAAATGCAGCAGAGCGGTCAGGTTTCTCATATATAGATGTCCGTCAATCCCAATTCAAATCCAACTCAAATCAAACAGCGTCTGTGTGGAGAGGCCTGCTGCTGCACAGAAAATGGCTGAGATGAAAATTCCAATTCTTGATTACAGGGAGCCATCTGGTGGCGGCTGAATGGAAGAGCAAACCAAAAGCAACAGCTGAGAGCGTCTATTTCCAGCAAAGATGAGTACATTAGTTATGTGACTAAACAAAGACAAAAACACACAAAAGCAACTCTCTCACTAGCTTTTTTCTTCTTCAAAACCCCCTGTGCCTTTATCAATTAAAATAGAAAATAAAAATCTGTGTTACAGTCCAATATTTTTCTATAACATTGCACAAATACTCCATCTATATATAAACATTGATAGGAACACACCATATAAACCACTCGTGCCCAGCAAAAACCTTCAGTTCTACCATTTTAGTTCATAAAATAACTCATATTTCCTGTAAATGACAAGCGAAAGGTATGCAGTTTACAGTATAAACTCATGACACTGGTAGGATGAGTATTATAATACAGGCGTCAATTAACTTATTCTTTCAACTGATTACGTTTTTGTGGATATTCAAGGTCTCTGCAGCACACATAATTAATAACTTTGCCCGTGTAAAGAAAGGCAAACACAGAAATTTGCAACACACAACACAAAGACTCATTCCTTAGTTCTGTGGTCTCCTGAAGACCAAAGTAGAGCAGAGATACCCTTTCATTATACAGTACTGTAAACAAAAGAGATGATCAACAAGATAATTGATCCTAAATCACTTTGTCTTGTGTTTTTGAAATGAAAAGAAAAGAAAATTGCGGTTTTAACTGTTTACTGCCATTACATGCATTAACCCGTATTCATCAGACTTCTCTGGGAGCCTGGCATTTGAGGAGTACTGGAGCTATCACACATAACATATTTTACCGAATGTACCATGAAAAGTAAATCTTAAAGTGAGTCTTCTCACTTGAATCTCTTTTGTAGCGCACTGTTTGTATTAAAAGACCGCAGAATGAACAGTGCACTTTTACATTTAAATGCCAGAGGTGACAAGTAAATAAGAAATTAAAAACAATATAGGAAAAATACAAATAATGCAAAACAGGTTTCCCGGCCTTTAGAAAGATTCTTCTTTTTTCTTCTTTTCTTGATAATAAAACAAACCACCAGGTAAACACCTTCCTATCTTCTTGGAGGAAAAAAACAGGGGAAGGAAAGAAGGAGGTGAGGGGCTCCAAACTCTTTTAGCTCGTCTCCAGTTTGGCCATTTCCTGCACGTAGATCCCGATGCTCTCGCTGTCGAACAGCACAAAGTAGACGGTCTTGATGGTGGAAGACATGGTGGCCACAAAGTAGGTGGAGATGGCCTTCAGGATCAGCTGGGCCGCCGTCTGCTTCGGGAAACCATTCCTGGCAGAAAATAACTAACGTGGTGAAACACTAGTCTAACAATTAAAAATAAGTAATTCAGCATGAAAAAAAGCATTCAAGATTTACTAAAGAAATCATACTCTACTACAACTAGCATGAGGCTTCAGTCAAATTTGAATAGTTCCACAAACTTTTTCTTGACCTCATGCAGCACAGGCTTGCAAGGATTTTAGTTTTGAAAACTCCTAAAGAACTTGAAGTTTTACAAGGGAACCTGACTTCTACTGACTCCCTATGAACTGTGGATTCACACTCTCTTTCTGTTCCTCCAATACTTGACATGTTTGTGTAAATCTTTTCAGATCAAAGTGAAGGTGTTTACATCTGTTGCCAGGAAACTATTTAACCTCCCATTTAGTCTTACAGAGAGAAAATTGAGAGAAATGTACGGGCGAGCAGAGACACATGAGCAGGCACATTTTACTGCTGACGATGCAATTTTGCTATTTTCTTGGTCTGGAACCAGGTTTAAAAAAAAGTGTTATGTAACCACACTTTTTGGCAAACCACCTCTAGTTTTTGACTAAACTAAAGCCAGAGTAAAACACCCTCGGGTTGATGTATTAAATGTAATCTCCTCTGTTAGTTTAAGATAAGATTACATGTTCTTACAGCATCTCAATTTCACAAGCATCAAAGAAACATTAGGTCTTCAAAACTAATCATTATCCAGTGCAAGATAAAGAAAACGTATCTCTAAATAAGGAATTGAATGTTTTCTTACCTCCCACTACCAATGGAGGGGAAAGCCACAGACTTTAGTTTCTTCTCATCCGCCAGAGCCAAGCAGTTCTTCACCGTCTTGTCCAGCATCTCCTCACACTTATCGGAGCCCCAGCTTGGACTGTTACAGTGGATCACGTACTTAGCGGGCAAGCCAAAGCCAGCGGTCAACACAGCTGAGGGACGAAGGGAAGTAGACACTTTGGTTAGAAATGAGGTTGATATAAGTGTAGCATTACTGGACTAAAACAGCTGTCTGTTGCTCTGGTTGAACATTCAATTGTAGTAAGAAAAGGATCTCTCTTTTAGGATCAATAATGTAAATGGGCTCTGACAAATTATTCTTTTTAATTATAAAGTATTTTTTCAAAGAAAATCAGTTAACCAATTACCTTTCTTTATACATTGTCAGAAAATTGTAAAAACAATGTTACATATTACCATAGTCTAAATTGCATTTTATGTTTGACCAACACACTGAAATATAAAAATATATTCACTCAATGAAAAAAAAGCCAGAGCTAGTGAATGTTTGTATTTTATGTCTTAAAATAAACTGAATTTTTAGGTTTATCAACAAATTGCTTCAGCCCTAAACGACAACATCCATTAAAATGTCACTGTCACCAAGCTATAATATTTTTTTAATATAGAAAAAAGAGAGATTAAATTGGTTGAGGCCAAAAACTTACAAATAACTGAAGTAATAAGGTATTACCACCAAACTCCCAGGAAATGTTTACATGATGGTTTGGACAACATTGAACGCTAAATGAAAGAACAATATGTAGTCACCCAGAGCTGCCACTTCTAATAATCAGTTAAATAAGTACCTATATTTTCTCTGACACCACGTCATATTTTGCTGTCATAACTTTGTGCTAGTAATGATTACTGACAGTAAGGGAACTTATTCACTGCTGTAATTCTGCTGGATATTTTCCTGTCACTTCGTAATCGTCCACAATCAAAATCCGTTTCATTAACTCATTTTGTCAGAAGTTAAAACCCGGTAGGCCTGAGTTGCTAAAAAGAACACTTTGCTTCGTGGAAAAAGTATGTAGCAAATCTCCAATAGCTTAAAATGGTTTGGCCGGGGTATTACAGTGAGGTGGGCCGGAGAAATCATTTCTCCAGACAGCTGAAAAGGAGCAAAGAAAGGAAGAAGAAGAAAAGGGGAAAGAGGAAGAGAGGAGGAAAAGAAGAGGAAGTCTAACCAGCAGCTGTAGACTCAGCCAGTGCCCCTGACTCTGAAGCGAGAAAGCCTCCAGTCAGATTTTATTAGCCCTCGGTGAGCGTGTGACTGGCCTGGAGTCAAAGCTGAGTTATTTCCAGATGGAGAGAGAGGATGGCGAGACTTCACACGGCAGAGCGAGGGTCACCCGCATGTGATCTGGTCCTGAGGTAAAGAGTGTGGATGATGATTATGGTTTTTTATGACTGGCTGCACAGTTCGACTTGTTTTATGGTTTGGGAAGGAAGAGCAGTGTGTGGTGGTGCTGGTGAACTGCACATCTGGAAATCACCTGTCAATCAAACTATGCAGACAACCCTGTGACACTTCACTTTGGTGAGTGGTGTCCTTTATCTGCCAATCTAGCCAACCATCTTCTTTTATTCAGCATGAAGAAAACTAAAAAACATTAAGTTTCTGCTGGGAATTTGACTCAATCTTCCCTTGTGCAACATAATTGATACACCTGCAGTATACCAGGTGTCTTTCTGTATTTATCTTATTGTGAATACATTTATGACAAATGATCAAAAACAACAATGTCTTATTTGTCTTCTCTCTGATTGGCTCTGCGTTCGGTCACCTGGTAATCTATTTAAGAGCTCCACACAGAGCGGGATTTAGATGCTAAGCTAACTTGGCTGAATGGGAGAGAGTTTGTTTGAAAAAGGGAGTGTGAGTGATGAATAATGATAGAGACAGATGGAGAGAGTGGAGACAAATGGACTGAAAGATAAAATAATCTGACGGCTCAAGAGATATGGCTCTCTAAAGACCTTTGCCTGTAGTTTTAGACTTAAGTAGATATTAAGTGCCAATAATAATATCTTTGATCATTTTTATGACCAAAACTAGATTTGGATTGGATTTGTATTTGTATGCCCCCGCCAACCAGTCATTACTTAACATTTGTTTTTTTTAGACATTTGGAATAGACATAACTAGCACATGAAAATGAGTTATAACAGAGAATGTGTGAGGACCATGACCTTTGTTAAATCTACTCCGATTATTCTTGAGTCCGAGGAAACATTTGTTCCTATTTGTATCTTATTTCCCTCTGTTGTTTCTGGCCAGGGTTAATCCTTGCTGCAGTGTCCTGACATCATTTGGTTGATGTGGATGCAGAGGCCAATAGGAACCAGCCCTGTTTATTTTGGTGTGTCTGAGTGTGTGAGAGACATTTACATGACACATTGTCATGGGAGTTGGGTAGTGCTTGAGTGAATGAATTTGCCGAGTAACCGTTTGTTTTGACGTTTTTATCACCGTTAAATCACCTGTAGTTTGTTTTGCATCACCAATTAAAAATAAATAAATTAAATTGTCAGGATGTAGGACGGAAAAACTGCACACCAATAACATTTGCTTGTTGACTACAGGCTGCCCAGGTAAAGCAGAAGTTCTATCCAGGTTGATTTAATAATGAATTAGTCCACATCCTTACTAGGGAAAACCTCCAGGGTACTTAAGCAGAAATGACCAACAATGCTTTATGTTTAAATAAATACAAAAAAAGATTAATAGGAACTACCCGACATTATCTGCTCTGTGCACTTACCGCCAGCCACCTCCAGAGGGCCGTTCTTCTTCTTCAGCTCCAATAGCGCCTCAGTGAACTCCTTCCCTCCCTTCTTTTCCAGAGCAGCACCTGTAAGTGGATAAAAGGATTGGAGTGATCACATCGTCACAAACTGCTGATGGACACACAGACACACAGCAGGAAGGAGGAGATAGTGTCATGCAGACCGGCAAGCAGGCAGACATGGAAACAACGATGCTGTCAATCATTTCACCTGGTTTCTCCCTGAATATCTGAGCTACAGAGTTTCTGTTATCTGGTTTATGAGACTCAGGAAAGGTTCACAACCCAAGTGTAAAGATTCAGGGCTGCTATTTTCCAAATGACTCATCTGAGTCCGTAAAAAGGTTTACGTATTAAAGCTGCGGTGCCTAATTACTTCCCTCTGTCTTCACATACTAGCTTTTTTGCAGCGGTCTGAGGGTGTTTTCTTTCACTCCCAAGTTACAGGGTGAAGAATAAAATGACAGCTATACAGTTATAAACTAATGTATGAAAGCGCTAATAACTGGTTTTCAAACACATTTAAAGGAAAACAATCCAGGGAGAAAGTTCAACTCCGAAGAGTAAAATAAATGTTTAAGTTATGATGCAAATGTTTTGTTTTCTTTGAGTGTGATGGCTTAAAGGAGATGATTCCACATCACTTAATTTGATGTTTACTCAAAAACAAAAAAACAAAACTAGAGAGCACATAGGTGGTAAAAGTCTACCAGAGCGAGGGAAATCAATGTTTTGGCTGCAATATCAATACATTAAATCATGTAGAAGAAACATACAATAAGGTTCAAATCAGCTCTTTTGGGGAAAAAAAATCTTAGGACAATTAAACAGCCAAATAACGCTAAAATAACACCTTTTTCTGATCATCCTTTGAGTCATTAATTTAATGCCAATGGACATTAAACAACACTAGTGAGTTTTAATTAAAATCTTCAGGAAATAAACTTCTCAATCAAACTTTTGGTGGATTTTCTTTCAAACCAGCTGAACTGACAGCAGTCGAGGGGAAGAGGAAAGGAAGCGATTTCCAGATCAGCCACATTTCAGTCTAGTGGAACAAAGCAGCAACAAGCAGCAGCAGCAGCAGCAAGGCTTTAAGATGCACTGACAGAAGTATACAGTTGTGTATGCATTATGCAATCATGTTTCTGTGTAACCAATGCACTTATTAGACTACTAAGGGCAACATGTTGATGTTCTATTTATTTTCATCAGTGGGATAAGCTGTGGTGAATCATCTGTGGGTTAAACACAGATGTGACACATGGGCACCACTGATAAATACTATATCCCTGCACATGTTGTAGGCTTGCTTTGTCTTATACAATGTGCAAATACACTTGAAAAGTGCTTTTATTTTTAAAAGATGTGGATGGAGTAGTAGCCAAAGCAGAGGTTTGTCTGTTGAAGCAGGATCACTAAATTAGAAACAACTGCAAAGGGCTGCATTGGTGTTAAAATCCAAACAATTATTTTTGTTTTTGGCCTAAACTGTGGATGTGAGGGGTTCAAGGTTTTCCCAGCAACTTCGTTAGTGCTGCTTTGACCAAATGCAGACACTGTTTTGAAAACCCTTCATTTCTGGTGCATAAAAATGCAGGAATTTCTGACATCTGACAAAACAGTCAGCTGCAAACCAACAATGTTTGAGGATGCAGGAAGCTGCCAAATTTACATTTTTCGTGTCCACATTGAGTTTGTCTTCTGGGTTAGGTTTATTAAAAACCTAGCGTGTGACTGCAACTCTGTTAGGCAGCTGACTTCACATCATGGAGTTTCCCCACAAGCACTTCTTAGAAAATATGAAATAGTCCTTGTTTAATTAAATGTTCACTCATACTAGAGCATAATTATCCACGTCTAAGTCAATGTTTCCCCAAATTACAGGAATACAATAGAAGCATTTAGAGTAGGAACAGCATGCAGTTGGGTTGTGTATTAAAAGGTTTTCGGACACTAAAGAGCAGAATTAAAATGTGCTGCTGCTGTGATGTTTGTCCCCAGACTGCATTGCGGACTATCTGGAACGTGCAGAGAGAGAGCAGACGGACGCTGGCGGTCACCGGTGGTTCCTTTACCTACTTCACCACCTGTATAGAGGGAGGAGCTGGTCGGGTGAATGACAGCGTCGCTTTCCACGATGGAAATGTCGGCCCGGACAACTTGCAACTACAGACGACAACGACAACAAACGACAGGCAAACAACATGGAGGTAAAAACACAGTGTGTGTGTGTGTGTGTGAGATCAGGGGCAACAAGATGGGACGAAAACATTTAAACTAAAAGAGATGAAAAAGAATGAGAGGAAGAAAAGATACAAGGAAGTGAATACGCTCCTTTTTGGCCCAGGATATCAGAGGAATCAAGGAGGCAATTGATGATTAGGAGGCAGGACTGCACATTAGTTAAAATAAATGACCCCAAATTGTAGCTTACAGTCATCACAAGATTGTATTATTTTAGAACAATAACATTTTATTTAGGTAGTTTTCAACTGGGGGAATTGAGAAAAATACTTATTGTATCGTCCTGATTTCTTGGCTCATAAATGAGCTGAGAACTGAATGATCTCCCTCCAGGCCACAGACCTTACTGTCAGGCTGCAGAGCACAACAAACAGAAGTTCGTGTTTTTCTTCTGTAAGTTGGTGCTTTAATTCATTAGAATGATGTCCCTGGAATCACAGAGATTCTTTAGCATCTCAAACGATCTGACATCCATCTAAAAGGAGGACAACCTGGAATGAACCTCAACACATCTACATGAGGGGAAGAGCAAGCAGGACCCTGCTCTGAGGAGTTTAGATTGAAAAATCCTTGAATGTATCCACAGAAATAATTTTCTATGGATCTGTAAGAGAAATTCAGTTTTCAGTCAAAGAGCAGGCTGAGTTTCTTGAGTTCAGAGAAGATCAAAGTGAAGATCTTCACCAGGCATTCACACTGCGAGCGCCATAGATATGTTTTTTTTTTACTGAGAGTCCAAAAGGCCTCAACAAGCACTCGTAAATATCTGCTGTAGCTGAGGTTTTCCTGGTAAGGAGACAAAGGCTTCTCATATAGCATATTTGCAGTCTATTTATAGAACACGAAATTGCTGCATCTTTCATCAAGGTTAACTGTATTTCTTTTACTAATTCCTAAGGGGCGCTGATTTTCATAGATTTATAGAAAACGTCCTTCAATTTTACTTTTCAGGTATTGTGTTTTATATTTTCTGATAAATAATTCCAACTCAAAATAATGAGTTTTAGTTAAGCCATACATTGTAGACACAGTAGATATGATAAAGATGTTGTTTCACCTGAACTTTTGAAACAACATCCATCTGGCTGCAACTTACAAATTATGTATTTAATATATCATATTCCAATCACTTGTATATAGACTCTTATTGCACTATTTTTCTTTTTGTATTTACTTACACAATTGTTTCTGTTTTTCTATTTTTTGTGTTGCACTGTTGGAGGAGCCTGTGACCTAAGATTTTCATCGTCATAACTACACTGTAGCTATGTATGTATGACTAATACAAGCCTTGAACCTTGAGATCTCTTCCACTTTCCAACATTTGTCCTAAATGATCATAACTAAAGCTGCCCACAGTGTGAATGAACAGATCTAGAGTGGAGGAAAGTTTTTAGAGGTTTTAATTCACTGACCAATTTAATTGAGAAGTTAACATATCAATTGTAATGCTGTTAACCATTCAATGATTTTTTTACCTAAACCCCTCTTGGACCAGAGATGATGATGGGGGGGGGGGGTATAGGGGAGCTCACCTAGATCATCTTTAAGTTCAAGTTCAGCATTGATGGGGTTGATGACCCCCTCCACGTCAAAGCCAGCCAAGTTACTGACCTCGCTGTGAATGAGGTTGAGCTGCGTAAAGCGGGGGGAGGCATGCCAACGGAGGAAGAGCAAGAAGGAAAAGGGAAGGAAGCAAAGCAATTAAAACCAGATTCATACCACTCCCTAAAGGAATACCTTGACGTTTTGAGGATTTATTATAAGAACTTGACATTCAACATATCTGCCCTGCCACTAATTCTTAGCTTTTGTGTGCAGTGACGTGTACAATGTAATGTGGATTGACGACCAACACCCAACGTATAGCAGTATTTAAAAAAACATCTCAAATACAAACACACAGCTACAAAGGTTATAGTGCCAAGTTCTACTAGATCAGCATTAGTCAGCAATATATTAAGGCTCTGGTTAAGCACTTTCAAAGCAAACTAACAACTCAAATAGGTCACAATAGGATTGCAGGCCATGCAAAGAAATGCTTAATTATTTATAATATCAATGGAAAGTAATTAGGATAATGAGGACCACACAGACCTCAACCAAAAAGGGACATCAGTCAAAGGATGACATTAACCAACAGGGACATGATGGAAACAATAACTAAGGTTGAAAACTACTTTGAAACTGGTCAGTTCAAACCTCAATAGTTTGACAAAAAGCTCTCTGATTTGACCCGCCTTTGTAGCTGTGTTGTTGTTTTTATGTCGTCATCATCACCTTAGTTGCAATGTCCATTAAGTCCTGTTGTACTTGTAGAATTTAACTCTATATTCCTGGCTTCTAATGCAGTTGTGTTTGCAAAGGTAATCCCAGCATATGCATATGTTTTATTCTCTGTTTGCCAGGAACTTTACTAAAGGCTGAGGGAATTTTCTAAAATAAAAGTCAAAATATCAAGGTATCCTTCAGAATGTTACGATTTTTCAATGCACAAGCAATATCCTTTTAGTATTTCAGAGTCAAGATTCATTAGTCAACTGTTAGACAAACTGCACATCCAAGGTTTAAACTCCAATCTTTGAAAGGAAAAGGCCCAAATCATCCCAAAAGAAGTCATTTGTGTGTGACCAAGACTTGAGCAGGAAAAGCACAGCAACATTGTTTAAGTCAATAAAGCAGAAAACAGACAAGCTTAATAAGTTGGCGATTAAATGCATTATATATATTATGGCCTTGCTGAAGCTATAACGTCAGTTGTATTGTATTAGTATTTGCATATGCAGAGTGGACCAAACCATGCAGTGCCATTAGCAGAAGTTCAAAGTCAAACTGAGCTGAAACATTGAAATCTGGAAGTATATGTTCTACATTTGTTCTTCATTTCCTGCATTAGGTGCCAACAGTGTACACTAGCATCACTGCAGATTGTAAAATTATTATATATTGGATCCATTCAGAGACCATCCCCTAATCCTTTCTGTTCGGTTTGATCTTGTGTTTTACTACGCCTCCCACAAACTTTAGAGAGGCAAAACATAACAGAGGACGCTGTTGAAAATATGCTTCTCTTAACTATTTTCAGAGTGCTAAACACACGTATAACACTGTATTTATATCGTTTCAATATTATATATTTTTAAAGATTGTGTGTTCAAAAGCCAAAATCAAAATAAGAATTTACTCAAATGTATTATCACTCTTTGCAATTATAGAATCAGCGACACTTCTTGCATCATTCATTGTCTTACACATGTCCCTTCCCCCCTCTTCCTTGTTTTCAAACTTAAATCTACTTTCATAAGCTTCTGATCTTGAACACTAAAAAAAACTACTGTAGATGTAACAGCAAAATGTACTTCCATGTTTCAGTTCAAATAAAAAAGGTTAAAGAAGTGTTCATGCTCGGCAGGACAAAAGCGAGGAGAGCTTACAGATCTGAGATAAAGTGGTTAACATTTTAAATACATATGGCACTGACCTAATATCTATAATATGACACAGCATTTACCTATGTATGTCTTCCCTAAGGTATTTGTAAGTTATAAATGTTTTGTCTTAGTTTTTTAAGTCTTATTTCTTATCTTTTTTCAACCTGACATTAGTAAGGCTTCTGTTTATCCCAAACTTAATAATGTATGTGAGACTCTGAGACACTGTAGTTTATTGTGTATGTATCTTAGAACTTCCTGTCCATTTCTACAGAACTCAAACTGACCTTTTGACCCAGGAAGAGGCTCTTGGTGGAGAGCACGGTGAAGCTGTCAGTGGGAGAGCCCTCTGTGGTGCTGTCTGCTGACGCTGCCTTGCTCACCTCCCCCTGCTTCTGTGGAAGACACAATACATGTTGACAGGATGTGGCACTTAACATTGTTTTTTTCCCCTTAGTCACCTCTCTTGGGAGTTAAGGGGTCCGCTATACTTTTGCTTCTGAAGCAGGTTTAAAATAATATCTTCTGTGCCTTTAAAACTTGTTCCTTCCTTTAAAATATGTCAAACTTTTAGTAATGTTTGGACTTTTTTCCCATCACTGCTTCAAAACATATAGAATATTTAAAATACAATTGACTGTATACAAGCAGAGCTAATCCTCATTTAACAGCAAATTACACTTAAATATGTTTCTGAAAACAGTTGAGAAGAGAAATAGAAACTGAATATTGATTCATATTTTATCAGAGCAGCCTACTTTTACAGATGCAATGGGGAGCATTGGGGGAGGCAGGGGAACATGACTTTATTTTACAGCTTATCTGTATCATGCACTGCTGCCAGGATATAGGGAACCTTTCATCAAATACGGCAAAACATTGACGACAACCCACTGAATCCACATGCTCACATGGAGAGGTACCTTAGCCTTCGCTCCTCCCTTTCTCCCACTCATCTTCTTGCTGGCTGATTTCTTGACCGGCTTGGGTTTTTTCTCAGGTGCGGGTGAGACAGGAATCTCTATCAGTTTTCCCCTTGGTCCTCTCTTCTTAGACAGCAGCTCTGGATGGATGTTGGGCAAAACTCCACCTGATGCAATGGTCACGCCTTTCAGCAACTGAGACAGGAAGACAACGTTAAAAACTGAAGTCATAGCTTCAAAGCTTTAACTTCAAAAAGTATTAACTTGACATAATATTAAGTTTATATATAATGAAACATCTCTTCAAAAATGTTGTTGTTTTCTTTCGTGCAGCAGCTGACCTGGTTTAACTCTTCATCATTGGCGATGGCCAGCAGGATGTGTCGTGGTGTGACACGACCCTTCTTGTTGTCTCTGGCAGCATTACCCGCCAACTCCAAGATCTCAGCTTCATGGGTAAAAACAAACAAAAATATCAACAAATTTGGTTTAAAAAAAAGAAAATGCAAAGCATCTGAATGCATATATAAACAGAACTAACGGTAAAAACTAAAGAGTAAATTGATCTGACTAAATATCACTGAAAATAAATATATTAAAATTAAAATATATAGTCTCAACATTTGTAATAACAAAAAGTGCCCTTAAAACATATGTGTATTGTTTTGAATGCATCCAGATACCAAAAAACCCATGCTTTTAGATCCATCAACATCCACTGTCATAGAGCTTTGCTTAAATAAGTTGCCATAGTTTGTTTTAGTTTACTGCCTTAAAGCATATGGAAAAAGTAGTTAAGTCCAAAGAAAGATGCATCTTGTATATCTCATCATTCTCTCACCAGTGAGATACTCGAGGACAGCAGCCATGTAGACGGGCGCCCCCACCCCAATGCGATATTTGGGCAGACCCCTTTTGATGTATCGCAGCATGCGTCCTACAGGGAAGATGACCCCGGCCTTAGTGGACCGGGACGTCTTGGTCGACTTCTTTTTTGCTCCTCGGCTCGACATGGTGCTGAGACTGCTACCAGTGTGGACCTCTGCAGGGACACAACAACCAAGATCCATTTAGACATCTGAATAAAACTGATTTTCTTATTGTTATAAATAAATAATAATTCCTTTCAAATAATAAAAAGGAAGTAATACAGTGCTGAATATACCAGGTGTGACTAGTTTGTTAAATAAATACATCTTGGCAATATACACTTGTCGTACTGGTGGAAATCCCAAACTGAGGAAGTATTTCCTAGGCTGCCTAATTCTCCCACATGAAATCCCAATGTTAAATTAAGACAATTCTTCCACAGAGATGAATCAAAAATAAATAAAGAGGAAATTGCACCCTAATAAATAACTTGAAAAGATCAATTCTGACACTGAACACATAGTAAAATTGTACTATCCTGATGTCTTCCTTTACTGAATGAAAAAAACATCTTCTCTTCTCAGTATGACAGTGATGGTTCTCTAAACAATTGTACAAATGCATTTCCTGAATATGTTACCAAAAGGTTTAAAACAAGTTTTTAGACTGTTGATACATTGAAAGCGTGTTAAATATATTTAAAAAACAATAGCTGATATCATAGATTTTACATCCCAATAATAAACTCAGTGTAATGTGAAATGATTACAAATATTATTATTACGGATCACAAGTTAAATACTCTTCCTCACAAGTGTATCACTCCAGCAATATCTCAAGCAGTTAGTTTTGTGCTATCTTTCTCTAAAAATCAAGTTTTAAAATGCATTTCATTTGACCGAAACATTTTAAATGTTTAAATACCAAATACCAGAGATCCACATTAGGCTTTTTAGTGCGTTTTTACACACACACACATCAACATAAAAGTCACACAAGCTGTAAAAGGACATAGCTATGCTGTGTGATCACTGGTGCCAACCATAGACTGTAAAGCTGCAAACTGACATTTTATTAATAACATTAGCACCCTGACATTTTGGGAATGGGCAATATTAAATGTGAATTGCAAGTGGTCATGATTGTTTGGGTTTCACTCTAACTCTACTAATATTTCAAGTCAATCCCCTGGTTATTTCCAGGAGATGTACAAATATCTGTGGTGGAAATCATGTTTTACTATAGCACATGCAACCAATTAGCTGTCTGATTTGGATACTTAATAAGATCCACCAAAGGCCAGGCTGTTTCTTAAACCTGCTTGCAATGCATGCATTGATACATGATATAATATCAAACACAAACAGGGGGAATTGACCGCCAATGAGGTTAATGGCCAGCAAATAAAACATCTGCGGCATTTTACCACTCCGGACAGGTGCAGGTGCGTTGGGTATTTCTCTCGACTGCCCACTGTCAACGATTTCCGCATGTCAACAGCGTCAGGATAGCTCGCACATGTACATTGAATGCATATTATAAACAACTATGCGTACAATTGTGCATAACATAGAGCTGTCAGACGACCTGAAGACATTTTCATGCTCCAGGTCAGCGAGCTTTCGAGTGGAAATAACCCCGGCGGAGTGGCAGCAGCTGCCCGTTCCTCCTCCCCTCCCTCCCCGCCTGTCAGCTCCAGCAGATTCGGCCTCCATGTATCATGTATGCCAGTAAAAACACGAAATGGCAACGTAAACGGCACAGCACGGAGAACCGAGACCGGCTCTGTTGATAACCATACTCGACCCGAAAAGACAGCAGGCAAGCCCGGTAGAAATACTCACAAAAAACACCGCGGTGGGAAAATGTCTCCGGTTCTCCAGGAACAAGTCTGGGCAGAGTCGACTCCCACAATCCACAGCGAGCGAGCCTGCTGCCCGCCGAGCGATGCAAATACTGGGGATGATCTTTAACCCTTTGCACCTTCACTTTGTCCAGGAAAACGCGTGGTTCGAGCTGGAAATGCTGACCGTTTTGGTTCCAAAGCAGATCGATGCTATCTCAAACATTAAGGGTTCGGGAATTTACATTATTCAGCGTATGTTACAGTGGGTTACGTCAAACTGTTTCGACCAGGGGTGTCGCTAAATCTTGGCAACTTGTGCAAATATTCCCCCAACCAACCCACACATATCCCCATGTTTGATTAGCACACAAGCTTAGATTTTACAACAATGTGTTTTACTGGTCATTACTGACTGAATTGTATTTTAATCTTATTTTCATTAGGCTATTTTCATTTTTTATTTTTGTATTCCTGTTTTATTCAGTCCTGCATTTGGTAGCCTACTAAGTAAAGCTGACACAACGCTGTGTGTTAAACTTGCTAACATGAATTTGCTTTATGGTCTTGCTTGTTAAGTAAATCACCAAATGGTGATCAGTTGACACTCAGGTAATGTGCTGCAGGATGGTTTCTTCATTTAGGGGGTCATCAGAGTTTTATCAATTTAGTAATCAGAAAAGTAGATTTTATCTGTAGCCCCTATTGGTATTTATGTCACTAGACATTTTCTAATGAGTCCTGTGTTTGCCAAAAAACACAAGATGCTGAAAAAGGGCAAAAGTGTCACTTACTTTTCAAGATTCCCTGTTAGCCATAACTATACTGACAGTAATCCAACATGCAAAATACCAGGACCTGAAACTAAAGCAGCTAAGCATTAATTGTATTATTTGTTTACTCCTGGGTTTTCCCACACATCTAGTAAAATACCTGTTGAAATGTGTTTCTAATAATTAAAGTATAACATATTCAACATATTTTACGTCTCATATGTCCCACACATTTAACCAATCAATAATGCAAATACAAATTGTAATGTATTTCCTTATGTAAGGTTAAACTCAAAGCAATGTCAAATAAGTCAGCCTTTTATTTTGAAGGTGAGTCTCTTCTTATAAATGATAAGGATACAATCAAAGAACACAGTTGAACACAAATCCTGAGTAAACTTCAGTCCTGAAATTCAACACATGAATAACAAAATGGGTCATAATAAATCTAAATCAAGACACAGTCCAGGCTTTACAGCCCTCAGTGTGGCTGTGAAGGGTGAGTGACAGATTTATGCCAAAACCCAGCAGCACACTGATGCAGTGGCAACAGTTTTACACCAGAGGTCAGACCAGAGCTGTGCATTAAAGCCCAGTATTCAGTTTTTATTTAAAACACATTTTATGCAGGAGGACTAAGCTGAAAATGAATGAACTTGCTGTATTTGTCTCTCATGCAGACTACACACCTTGTATCTGTGGGAAGAATGCAGTTTTTTCACATTTGATTAAATCATATGACAACAATAATGGCTGTAAATTATTAATCATGCCCTGTTTAGTGCAGAATAAAATAGAAAACAAACTAAAGATTCTAGTGAAGAAAATTATGAAATTATATGTAAATGTTTTAAGTATTTCATTTGTTGCTCTTTGGTTGCTTAGAGAATACGGGTATGAGTGAAATAACCTGCCTTTTTTTTGTATCAGCTTTAGATTTGTTTGTCCTCTGGCACAATGAAGAAAATATTGCAGTTTACTTAAAGCTGAAGCTTTGTTTGAATGCAGAGTTGCATTGTACAACATAATCTAGTTTGCTGTCCTCTCTCACTACCCACCATAAAATAATGATGAAGGATATCACTACAAAACTGTTCAGTAAGGAAACTTAAAAAAAATAATCTCATTACATGATAGAATATAGTCATGCAAAATACTGAGAAGCAAATCATGTGACCTGAGTTACAATGTTTACATAATTTAGCATGTGCATGTGTTTTAAGTTTCATAACTTCTGACTCACATAAGGTGAGTCATCTGAGTTCCAGTTGTTGGACTCTAGACCTTGATGTAGTACCACTATCACGGAGTTAAAGAAAACAGTATTTTAGCAAGCGTTATGTTATAGTCACACCACTTTCATGTAAAATTCAGCTGGCATGACAATGCACATTTATTCTTATTAATAAAAATGTACCTTGATATGAATTGCTCAAAACAGCATTACTTTTGTGCAACAAATGTCATAACATGTGTCACCTATTACAGCAACAATATGGATTTTCAGACACAAGAGAAAGTACTGTATGGGTCATTCCAGAATTGGAGGACAATTTAAACACCAACATTTTTGAAAAATGAACCTTTTATTTTATTATATTTTGTTATGTATTTAGGAAAAACAGATAATAAATCATAAAAAAAAAGTGATTTGCCCAGCTAAGGAATCAAATGTACACTTTTTATTAGATGTTTTTTTTGTTGTGTGCCATGCTTTGTGCAACCCTGTTACAAATACTCATTAAGCAGAAAAAAGTATTTTCAAAAATGTTCTTCAATACATTCTTTACTATTAAGTAAAGAAAGTCACATTTACATTAAATACTCATGTAGGTTTTGGATAAAACTGGTTTAATTTTATTATTTTAATAGAAAATGATATAGTAACAGGGTTGAAATTAGAGTAACAGGGTTGCATAAGGTAACAGGGTTAAATGGCTACATTACTTTTGATTGTAGATAAGGACATAAATGTGACAAATAATACTCAGGACAACAGAAATGTTGTTTGATAATATTTTATATATATTTTCCAATGAAGAATTAACCCTGTTACTCCAATTATAGTAACAGGGTTGCAAGTAATAGGGTTGCAAATCAATGCTAATTTTAGCTTTTACCTCAGGAATTAATGCTAGCTGCACAATGTAATGCTATTGTCAAAGAATGGACACACTTAGATATTTAACTAAAGAAAGATACATTTGAAATTAATTTGTTTTAGTCTCATAATGTGAGTAACAGGGTTGCGTTTGTATGAGTGCCACACTCCTTCAAGAGTGACAAGATTGGAAATATATTACAAATATAAGGGAGGACTGTAGTGATCACTGATTAATACACTGGGTTACATAATCCAATCATGGAACTACAGGTTGGGGGTATTGTTTCCGCACGGACATATATGTTGTTGGTATATACTGTGTCCTCCTTCCTTTCACTTTCTCTTCTCTTCCCGGGCTTCGACCCAACAACATGTGCATTTCTGCTGCTCAATAAAGCCAGCTTTGTACCTTCATTGCACCGCCTCCGACTCTCTTCTCTCGGCACTACATTGGTGACCCCGACATAAGTCTCGTGAAGTATCCGAGACTGAACCGAACATGGCAAAAAACGCAGTTTTTCTCGAAATGCCGGAGATTTTTGGAGACGTCCGTGGCTGCCACGTGCACATGGACTGAGGCTCGGTGCGGCCCCCGCGGAATGGCTGAGGACGTCGCTCGCCAATCCCGCATCGTCTCGGCACTGGAAGACAGCAAGCCTTCCGACTACAAGGAGACGATACACGACCTGCTAGGTGCGGAAGAACCCGACTTCTACCTCATGGAACTGTTTCTTCGGGACATGCGTCTGCGCTAGCTAACACGGCTAGTGTTGAGCCCCGCGCTTTAGCCGAAGAAGCTAGCCAGTTCTTCCTGGCCGCCCGGCGATTTACCCCTGGGGTGCTGGCCACTACACGCAGCGGCACCTTCCCTGGTGGGGGCACGCCGCCTAGCAGAGGCTCCGGGGCCGACAACGACGACGACAGCGACTAACGGCCGTCGATAGCGGCTAGCCACGACAGCTAACGGCTAGCAGCTACCGACGGCTAACAACGACAGCTAACAACAGCTAGCTACGACAGCTAACGGCTAGCAGCTACCGACGGCTAGCAACGACAGCTAGCAACGGCTAACGACGACAGCTAACGACTGGCTGCTAGCGGCTATCGACATCCAACTGTTAGCCCTTTTTTTTGTGGTGCCGGAGAGGAGGTTCGACCAAGTCTGGTCGGCCTCGTGTGGATCCTCTCACAATTTCGCCCACCTGTTTTTGATCGTGGACAGGACGACCCTTTTGAGCTTTTTCTTGTGCCTGAGAGGAGGTTCGACCATGTCTGGTCGGCCTCGTGTGGACCCTCTCGCTTTTTCACCACCTCGACGGTTGCTTCGGACGTCGCCCATGCCTTCTTCGGCCCGTGGGTGGCGCGCTTGTGGACCCTGCCTGGCCTCTCCTCTAACCGCGGCTCACGGTTCGCCTCGACGGCGGCTTCGGACGGCGCACCGTCTGACCCCGTCTGACCCCGGCTGGGCTCTCACCTGTCCACGGCTCCTACCTCCCGGGGATGCTGCTCCTACCCCCCAGTGACACGGCTCCTTCCTCCCGAGGACTTCATGCCCGCCGCCGCTGTGCCTTCGCCTGCGGCCAGGCAGCACTCCTCCCTGCTGGGGGCCACCGGGATATTCACGCCCGTCCCCACGTCGTAGCACAGCGGCCCTGTTTTCTACGGCTGGCAGAGGTTTTCTTCATTCGCCACGACGCCTACCGCGGCCCCCTTACGACGGCCCGTTCCGGCCCGCCCCCCACCCCCGGTGGGGATGCCCTTGCCCTCGTTAGGGCTCCTACCCTCTCCTGCGGCCCCCTTCCGACGGCCCGTTCCATGCCCCGGCCCTCGCCTGCGGCCCCACCCTCCTCGGCCCCTGTGGTGCTTCCTCCCGGACGCCAGGATTGTGCCATGTTTGAATTCTGGGGGGGCTTGTGTAGTGGGGGCTCAATAAAGCCAGCTTTGTACCTTCATTGCACCGCCTCCGACTCCCTTCTCTCGGCACTACAGGACTTAGTTTTGGGTTGCGGTCGAATAGTCCATTTAGCTTAGGAACCTTCCTAACAGAGTGAAATGACCCGGAAGTACCTCAGTGGCATTCATGATAAGTGCACCTCCTTTAGCTTAGGAACCACTGGACCTCCCTTTACGAAAGGAGAGGAGAAAATGCTGCCCCACAATGCCTTGCGGCCGCAGCATTTGGTTACACAACAGTCGGCCGTTCACGGAAACAACCGAGTATGACCGAGAAATGATATCATGAAAGTTACGTTGCTTATTAAGCATTTTGTGGTAACTTGCCACAAGTGCTTTGTTTTGAACGTTCATCAGTATTATAATCAAAAAGAGAAATATGAACGTTAGTTTTTACTGAAATTATCAAATAAAGTCAACATTTCACAGTCTTTAC